CCTGTAGATAGGCTGTAGATCGACAGGGGATTGGTACTAGTAGATTGACGTTCCACTGATGAAGGTCGGTTCTGGTGTGCTGATCTACCGGTCACTGAAGTCAGTGAAGCTGCCTCAGCTCTTCTGTTTTTAACTTGTTTTCCAGGTTTCACTCCTGGGAGATGTTTGAGGAGGAGCATGGCAAAGGACGAGACTCTGGATACACCAGCCTCCACAAAGAGCTGGAGCCCTTCTTGCTGCGCCGCGTCAAGAAGGATGTGGAGAAGTCTCTGCCAGCTAAAGTGGAGCAGATCCTCCGGGTGGAGATGAGCGCCATCCAGAAGCAGTACTACAAGTAAGAGCACTGCGCCGCCTTCACAGGTCCCTGGAAACCTCAGACACTTGAAGGCTCTGGCAGCCTGCCTGTCCTTGAAAGTCCTTGAATGTTTTGGTGTTAGATGCTTACAGCTTGTCACTTCCTGTTAGTCCTTAACATAGTTAATGTAACAGCTGGTGTGACGGCGTGTGTGACCTCATCACAGGTAAAGCGTTGAGTCACCGGACCTGCTGAGTCAGTCTGTTGAACAACTCAGCTGGAAAATCCTCATTTCAGAAGGAACAGCAGCCAATCAGAGTCTCTGGCCAGGGCTTCTGCTTTCTAGGGACCCATGGAAAGGATCTGCTGTGAGCTGCTCATAGATGCTGAAGTGTTTCTGTTGGCATTTGACCAATCAGAAACTAAACCCAACCCTAGCGTACTTCTGATTGGCTGCTGGTCCCTAAAATAAAGCAAGAGCTGCTCCTTCCATGGTCCAGTTTGGTAGAAAAGTAAAGAGCTTTGCCTGAGAGGCAGCAGCAGCCGGGTCCTGTGGCACAGGGTGCTNGTTTGGTAGAAAAGTAAAGAGCTTTGCCTGAGAGGCAGCAGCAGCCGGGTCCTGTGGCACAGGGTGCTGTGCCGGCCGTCCAGTGGCAGGCCTGCTGATGACCCGTGCTGGCTCTCCAGTGGCAGGTCTGCCGATGACCCGCGCTGGCTCTCCAGTTGCAGGCCTGCTGATGACCCGTGCTGGCTCTCCAGTTGCAGGCCTGCTGATGACCCGTGCTGGCTCTCCAGTTGCAGGCCTGCTGATGTCCTGTTTTTGTCCAGGTGGATTCTGACCAGGAACTACAAGGCTCTGAGCAAAGGCACCAAAGGCAGCACGTCTGGCTTCCTGAACATCATGATGGAGCTGAAGAAGTGCTGCAATCACTGTTACCTCATCAAACCTCCCGATGACAATGAAGCTCTCAACAAAACTGAAGCGTTACAGGTAAAGATGGACTTGTCAGAATCAGTCACTGGATCCACAGGTTCTGATTGGACGGTGTGAGTAGAAACGCCTTGTTACTGCTGGTGGTTGAAGCCTGTTCTCTTCTTTAAGCAACTGATCCGCAGCAGCGGGAAGCTGGTGCTTCTGGACAAACTGCTGGTTCGTCTGAAGGAGCGAGGCCACAGAGTCCTGATCTTCTCCCAGATGGTCCGGATGCTGGACATTCTGGCTGACTATCTGAAGAGCAAGAATTTCTACTTCCAGGTATTCCCAAGCTACTGAGGTCCTGAACTGGTTCATGGCTGTCATAGTATAGAGGATGACTGCTTTGTGTTGTTTCTGCAGCGATTAGACGGCTCCATCAAAGGAGAGATGCGGAAGCAAGCTCTGGATCATTTTAACGCCGAGGGTTCAGAGGTACGCCGTCTGACGCCGTGAGAGCAGTGGAATCAGACCCCAACCGTGACTCATGCTGGCTTTTCTCCTTGGTGTTCAGGACTTCTGCTTCCTGTTATCTACACGTGCCGGTGGACTGGGTATCAATCTAGCATCGGCTGATACGGTGGTGATCTTTGACTCTGATTGGAACCCACAGAATGACCTGCAAGCTCAGGCCAGAGCCCACCGGATTGGTCAGAAGAGACAGGTGAGGACAGACGATCTGCTTTTCATTAGAATGGAAACCTAAAACAACCCAAGACAGAAGGCAAACATGTGGAGACAGCTGTAAGGTCTGAGGCCGTAAGGTCTGAGGCCGTAAGGTCTGAGGCCGTAAGGTCTGAGGCCGTACGGTCTGAGGCCGTAAGGTCTGAGGCCGTACGGTCTGAGGCCGTAAGGTCTGAGGCCGTACGGTCTGAGGCCG